CCCAAAACCCACTACCGCCCTCGCCGCCGCCCCCGCCCAGACCGCCCAACCGCCCGCCGTCACCACTGTCCCTGCCGGGCTGGACGAACGCGCCGCTGCTGGACCCGAACCGCGGGCTGCTGCTGCCGCCGCCGCCGCCGTTGCCGCCGGTCATGTTGCTGACGAGGTTGTGCATCGCCATCATGTTGCTGGCTGGCCTCTTCCTCGGGGGTTTGTGGAAGGACAGCTTGAAGAGCTATTTTGGCGCGTTTGGGTATGTTTACGGGAAACCGAAACAGACAAGGGAAGGTCGCGCGGGCCCAAAATATGAAGAAAGGGGGATAGGAGACGAGATTTGTTCGAGCGACACCGCGATGCAACGAGCAAAGGCACATAGGCAAGTTTGGCCCGCTGGCCGTATTCGTGGCCGTAGTCGCGACGGGCATTTGCCGTAGAGCATCGACAAGGTGGACAGCAAGACTCTTGCCTCGTGGGAGCACCACTACAAAAACTATAGCGGGGCAATTCTCAAACCATTATGTTCCGAAAGTGAGGGGTACCAAGGAAATATCAACCGACGGCAGTACCGTCCCGGACGTCAGAACAATTTTATCTTGCGTCAATCTCGTACGATGATGACCGTTCAAATCTGGCGCCGCTACAGCTCAAGGGATGCTAGACCCGTGCTGGACGGCAACGCCTTCGCCTGTCCAGCAGCAAGCAACAGGCAGCAGAGACAATCCCACCAATAGCGGCGGCAAAAAATAGGGCACCCACAAGCCCACCTCCACTAGGATGCCATCCTCCACGTCCGCCTTCTTCACGATCAACATGCTGGCCCCCCCGCCCCCCGCCTGCCTAGCAGCCCCGCTCGCCCCCGCCGCACCGGGACTGCCGATTGCAGTCGTCGTGCTCCTTCCACCGCCGCCCCCGCCGCCGCCGCTGCGAACGGCTGGACTAGTGGATGAAGGCGAGATGGCGGCTAGACGCGGTTTCTTCGCCGGTGTGGCCGTGGCGCCGCCGCCGCCGCCGCCGCCAGAGCTGCTGCTACCGGGTGTGCTGGCGGCACCGACGCCGAGAGGGGCTCCGCCGGCTGCGCCTGCAGCGGCGGCGGCGGCGGCGGCCCCGCCGCTTACCTTGTGCATCACGCGGCTCCTGGCCGCCCTGTGTCGCGGGTTGGGTTGGCATGCACACAAGGGGGCCGGTGGTGGGGACACAACGGGTGGGTCCTAATCAAGGCGGTGTGGTTCTCCGGAGTACAGTTTCGTCTCTGTATCCCCCCCCCTGACTCTCCCTGACCATTCGTTCGGCGGCATTCGTTCGGCCGCCACGACACATGCAGCTCAACAACAACACCCTGGCCGCACCTCACAGCACACCAGTAACAAGCCTTCCGTGCAACGCTGATCCTGGAATAACCCCCCCCCCACGCTCACTCTTTTTAAGATTTACATGAACGATTTGATAAGGGCGGTTGAAGCAGTAAGACAGGGAGTCCAAGTAGAGGGAAAGAGTGTGTCCGGATTGATGTTTGCAGATGATTTCGTGGGGGTATCCGAAACACCAGAAGGGTTGCAAGAACAAATAGATGCGGCGGTAGGATACACCCGAAAATGGAGACTGTCGGCGAACGTAGGAAAATGCGCAGTAGTGGTCTGTAACGAAGACAAGAAAAATCCCGTAGAATTCAAATGGAAATGGGGGGAGGAAGAACTACCGGTAGTAGACAAGTATACGTACCTGGGAGTAGAGATTTCGAAGGAGTGCTCATGGGACGCACACATAGCGAAGTTGATTGGGAAGGGTAAAGCTCAGATAGGCAAGATGGACGAGATCCTTACGGACCCACACCTAGACACTAGGATTAAGATGTGTATTCTCTTGAATGTGATTGTACCTAAGCTAGAGTATGCAGGAGAGGTATGGGAAGGTAACGAAAAGGCCGTCAAGCAGCTGGAAACGGTGCAGATGGCAGCGGCCAAGAAAATATTAGGATGTTCAAGTACAACGAGCAACACTGTATTGAGAGCAGAATTGGGAATGTACTCTCTTAAAACAAAGAGAGACGTGCAGAAGTTGAATTGGCAGTACAAGGTAAGTAGAATGTCGGACGATAGACTACCGGCCATGGTTGACAAGGCAGCTTGGGGAAAAGCGACTCCAGGGAAGAAGGGAATCAGATGGGACAAGGTGGTAGAGAAGGTTTGGAAGGAGATAGGAGACGAGGAGGAGACGTTGGACACGGAAGGGTTCGGGGGGTTCAAGACGAAAGTCAAGGAGATGCTAGAAAGTAGGGAGGAGGCAACCCTTCGGAAGAAGGTACGAAGCGAAGACCACTTGAAGGTATACGGGAAGTTGAAAGAAGGGATAGGGATGAAGACGTACTTGGACGGCCCGATGGACTATGCGAAAAAGCTGAAATTGCAATTTCGAGTAGGCGATCTGGACTTGCCAGAACGGAGGAAGAGGTATACCAGCCGTAGGAGAGAGGAAGGGGAGGATAGACACATATGTCCATGTGGCAAATCGGAGGAGAGTAGACCCCACATAGTTGGGGAGTGTGAGTTGTACAGGAAGGAAAGAGAGGATCTCGAGGAGGAAATGAGACAGAGAGGGTGTGACATGGACAAGTTTGGTAAATTAGACAACAGCGAAAAAACGATCGCGATAATTGGGGATAGATGGTGGGCACAAGAGGCCCTAGAGGACGGGGATAAGATGTGCAAGAAATTTTTATGGAGTTTGTGGCAGAAACGTAAAGAGCTCCCAAATGTTGGTGGTGTCTCTAGTAGGTGTAGGAACGGTGCTCCGTCTCGAAAGGGACGCGTGGTCAATGGTCAAATGACTAAGGCAAACAACAAATGAGTACGCCCCCCCCCCCAGAGCGTGGCAACGACGTTGTAAAACAAGCCCCACCCTCGGTGTTTGCCATCGGGATTGGGTTTTCGTCGCTTGGCAACGACGTTGTAAAACAAGCCGATTCACTCGTGAACGCGGCAACCAGGTTACCGGGTTTTTTGTTACCTCTGGCTTTTTTTTTTTAAAGTAACCATAATGGTGGTCGAGTAGATCATGTTGTGCGGGGTCGAGAACCCTCACTCCGCGCAAGGGGGATAATCGCACCACTTTGTGTTAATGGTAAAGCATCCTCGAGGCAGTTACACAGTGCTTATAACTGTCTCTGGAAGTAAAAGCACCAGAAAATAAATTAAGTCATACGCGGCTGTCATCTGTACGCAAGGAAGTAAGCACAAGATGCCGAACACCCTTAGCAGGATGCAGCGCACCCTTCATGCGACTCGCCGAATACCTCACGGTCCTTCGCGCTTGGTGATGTGCTCGCCTGGTCCGGTGAGAACCCGGCGTGCTCCGTCCCGCCTTTGTAGGGATGCGAGGTCAACGGTCTGACGACTACGGCATGCACGACTATGAGTACCCCCCCCCCCCGGCTGCGTCTAACGACTGCGGCACCCCCGCCCCGGTGCGTCGTCGACGCGGACCAATACAAAAGCACACCAAAACGAAACGACCTGCCAGACCGCCCAGCTTGCTGCTCGCACACCTGAGGACCAGAGACTCCAGCAACGCGAGCAGCTCCTTGGCGGGCGCGTTGACCGGGTGCGCCGCCAGCCTCAGCGCTGACCTCATCCCTTCCCCATCGAGGACAACCGTGTTGTCGCACAGCGCCGCCGACTCCTTCGCGATGGCTTCCTCCGCCGAACCGTCCGGGCCCGCGCCGCCGCCGCCGCCGCCGCTAGCCCGGGCGTTGTTCAAGAGCGTCAGGTTCCGCACGATGGCGAGGCAGTCGCGCCAAAGGCTTCCCCCCTCACCGGAGTCGTCGGCTAGGAGGAGGGGGGGCGCGGCGCGCTCGCACCATACCAGGCCCAGGCGGTGGAGCTGTTTGGGGGCAAGAGAGAGACGGTGGTCTGAGAAACGCATCCTTTGGTGACACCGATTGCGTCTACAGAGCAGTACATCCAGTGGATGGCCAAGAACAGATGCTAACTAAATGGTTCGAGCGTAACCTCTGTGAACACTAGGGTTCTAGAAACGACAAAAAGAAAATGGTGGGGCGAGGGCGTGATGAAAACTTCTTTCTCTCTTAAGACCCCGAGATATCGACAAGCCTATACACAAGCATCCCACCCTAGGGAGCAAAAACGCCCTCCTCATCAACAGCAACACTACGCCCCGCTCGCCACACACACATATGCCTAAACAACAAGTCACCCACCGGAGCGAAATCCTTCAGGAACTTCGCACGGACCAATCTCATCGTCACGCCCTTGGCGCCCGCCCCTGCACATTTTCCCGGACTCTTAACCACCGCAGGGTACTCGGGGGAGTGACACTTTTCTATGCACCACACTCGCACGTTGGCCT